GAAGGCCTGGGAGCAAGCCAGGAGGTCTGGGCTTCTGATAACCATGGTCCAGAGAACGGACCATCTGGAGAAACTCTGCTCTTTGGAGGATGGGTTAATTTTATTTTATTTTATTTTGCTTTATTTTTTTTATTTTATATTCTGTACCTTCAGTGCTCCTCAAAAGTGTGAATGAAAGCTAAGGAGAGCCCTACGTCCCAGAGGAGACCACCAGGTTTTCTCAATGCATAGGCCAGGACCTCTGGGCTACATGACTCATGCGCGCGTATGCCGATGTACGCACAACCTGCTGCAGGTCTTTGCCTCCATCCTTGGACCAGGAGACCTCCACCCTGAGATACTGGAGGAGATTTCAGATTACTTCTCCTAGTATCTGAAGAGCTGCTAAGATCTGTCCATGGGCACGTTCAAAACTCAGCCAGTTGCTTTGGTCCTGCTCGGTGCAGGAGGTCCCACTGGAGGCCTCGGAGGTCCCTGCCAACAACGTTTCTGTGTTTCTGCTTCTCGGGAAGGACGTTCATGGTCCTAAACCTGGGAAGTGTAGGAGCAGGGCTTGAAGGATGTGCCCACCCATGGGGCAAGGCCTCCTGCCAGAAATTAAACGTAATTAAAGTGACTCCTGGCTCTTGGCTGGATGAAGCTCCACTAAAACAGCTGCAAATGCAAATCACAGAATCACTGCGTGGTTTGGGTTGGGTGGGACCTTCAAAGCTCATCTCATCCAACCCCCCACAGGCAGGGACATCTTCCACCAGACCAGGTTGCTCAAAGCCCCGTCCAACCTGACCTTGAACGCTTCCAATGATGGGACATCCACAACTTCTTCAGGCCACCTCTTCCACTGTCTCGTAGTGAAGAATTCCCTCCTTACATCCCATCTCAGCTTACCCTCTTGCAGTTGAAAACCTCAAGAAGGTCCCCAGGTGGTCACTGCTAAAGCGTTCACAGGTTTTTAAAGCTGAGGGAGGCCCTTCTCCAGCCTGGAGGAAGCTCTTGCCGTCCTCCAGGCAAGTTCAGGGGTTTTTCCTCTTTTTTTTGTTTTCAATGGAGGTTCCATCATGGAGATGAATTTGGGTTATTGGCACAGGAGGCAAAAATAATGCCGATTTTTATCGTTTCCCTCCCAGAAGAAAAATATAAGGAAACCCTAATGCTGGGGATGGGCCCAGGCACACGAAAAGTCCCAAGGGTCAAGAAAAGTCCTAAGGGTAAAGCCCTGAGGACCTGGGGGTGCAGCATTTCTGTATTTTAAAAAAAAAAAAAAAAAAAAGTTTTTTTGACTCCATGATTTTAATAGGGGTTTTTTTGTTATAAAGAGGTGATGAAATACCCACCTTGCTCCTCCTCCAGGAGGGGGTGGGGGGCATGACCTGGTTAACTGGGGGAGCTCTGTCCCCAGCTGCAGGCACTGGGAGGACTGGGCTGGGAGCGGAGGTTTCCCCCTTGTGAACCCCAACGTCATCACTTCATTAACAAAATACAAC